GGTACTATTATATGCCATATTGTGTATAATTACTTTGTAGTTTCTCTTCTAAATCTTTGATTGCTTCTATTACTTCCTTTAATTCCTCTTCATATTGATCCTCCTATCAGTAAATAAGTATTACACTATATACTAATAACTATAACTATATTATTATTTTGATCAACACTTATTTAAAATTATCACATATAGCGGGTAATATTGGAGGAATTTTAGCCCATATTTATGGGTGCATTTGGTGTTTTAAAACCCATCATTTTAAGATGCTCAATGGTAATTTGATATTACTTTATCACTAACCTTAGTTTCCTTTATTAATGACAGTTCTTGTATTTTTTCCTTCATTTTTTTTAGTTCCTACATATACATACCAGTATTTTTATAATGAAACATGAAGTGATAAATAATCTATCAATAAGCTACACTAATACAAAAACACACTCAACAATTAGCTCTTATACATTGAAGTATTAATTCCTCTTATACATGTAACACCAACAAACAAGTACCTTTTCTTTTTCACTAAGCATCTTTGTTAGTTGATTTGCAGTTTCTTTAAGTTCTTTCTGTCTCTATTGATTATAATAATAATCAAACACAAATTATTATACCTTTGTATCATGAGGTTGTCTCTTTATCTCCTGTACCTCCTCTTCCAGTGGTTCCTGTATTTCCTTTATAATACAGTATATAATGAAACCATATAGGGGGTATATTTCACAGGGATTTAATTTCACTAATTTCATGGTTTTAAAAAATTTGTGAAAATTTTTATCTGTGAAAATTATTTTTTAATCATAATAATGGTCAGTAGAAGAAAAATGCAAAAATTTTTTGTGAATAGGTTGAAAGGTGATTTTCGTGAAATATTTCCTCGGAAAATATACCCCCTATACGGTGATTACTGACAGTATATATACACATACTTGTATCTTTTGTTTCTTCCATATTGTGTAGTATCCAACAGTAAGCTTTATTAGACCATTCTTTATTAATAATTCAAGATTCTCACTCAATTTTATAACGAGAGCTCCAGTGAGAGAGTGAGGGAAGGAGCAAGTGACCACAATGGAGTATCCAGTATCAATATACTTTATCTTCACAAATTTACCAGACGTTTTGGAAAGAATATCGGTAATGTCTTTCAATTTCTTCTCATCAGGTCTCCAGTCAAAGACGTAAGTTGCTGATTCACATTTAAGAGAAGGACTTGTATTGACAGCATCAAACTTCTCCTTCAAGCAAAGATCAATTGACATTGACTGACAAAACCCTTCCAGTGTTGTCTTGTATTGTTCAATGTATCTCTCAGCTTCAGCGACTTCAAATTCTTCAACTATAGCTTCCAATAGACTAATATCAGTCAATGAACACTCTCCTTTTACTACATCTAATACATCAGGTAAAACCAAACAATTTTCTAGCTTTGCCTTTAGATCGGAATTGCATGAAATAATTAGTAATTTAAAATCGTCTATCAATGGAGGTTTCTTCAATATAGCTTTGTGTACTTTA